CAAATAACAAACCACTCCCTTTGGAAAGCCACTAAACTCAAGAAAAAGCCCGTTATACACAGAGCACTGCTTTTCTACTTTAACAAAACTTGACTCACACGAAACGACAATATGGCAATTTGCTTCAGTAAAAAACCACTAAAAAGCGAAATCAAATATTTAAATACCAAAAAAGCCCCAGGTTACGACCTAATTACAGCGAAAGTGCTGAAAGGGATCCCACAAATCGCCAAAGACCAACTACTTTTTATTTATAACGCTATTTTAAGGACTGTATATTTTCCAAACGACTGGAAGCAATCCAAAATCATGATGATACCCAAGCCCGATAAGGACCCCGCTCAAGTCACCTCATATGGACCCATAAGTCTACTTCCAATTCTCTCAAAATTATTTGAAAAACTTTTTATAAAACAACTGATGCCCTACATAAATAAAAAAAGAATAATACCTAACCACCAATTTGGATTTAGAGAAAAACACAACACAATAGAACAAGTACATCGCATAGTACGAGTAATTAAGGAAACGTTTGAGAAGAGGCAGTATTGTTCAGGTTTCTTTCTAGACATAACCTAAGCCTTTACAAAGTTTGGCACGAAGAATTGTTTTGGAAACTTGAGAAACATTTACCATACAATATATCCTTAGTTATCAAAAACTGCCTCTCAAATAAAAGATTTGTTATGAAACAAAATTCTTTTGTCTCCAATGCCTTCCCCATTATGGCCGGTGTACCCCAAGGTAGTGTACTGGGCCCCTTGCTGTACCTGACATGCCAACAAGTGACTGTACAACAACATCAACATTTGCGGATGACACTGCCATACTCAGCCATAGTGACGACCCATTCACAGCCATAAAATCAGTTCAAGACCATCTCAATAAACTGCAAAAATGGTTCGATCTCTGGAGAATAAAAGTTAACGAATCGAAAAGTGTACACATAACTTTCACTCTACGACGAGATACCTGCCCTGCCCTTCGTATTAATGAAAAAGTAATACCACAATGCAATGACACAAAATACTTAGGAATGCACCTCGACCGAAGGCTTACGTAGAAACCAAAGTAACCCAAATTAAACTCAAACAACAAGAACTCAACTGGCTGATAAACAAAAATTCTAAACTTATTCTCACCTATAAAGTGCAACTTTACAAAACAATGATAACACCCATATGGACGTATGGAATTGAACTCTGGAGCTCTGCTTCTCCATCAAACATTGAAAATGTCCCAAAAGTTCAATTTAAAATTCTCCGGCAAATAGTCGGTGCCCCCTGATATACAAAAAACGCAAATATTCATAGAGATCTTCGAATTGACACAGTCACAGATGTAATTATCAGCAACACACAAAAGTACAAAATCAAACTCAGGAACCCTCAAAATCCACTTGCAAGCAACCTTACCCAAAGCGCTGGTACTCAGCGACTCAAAAGAAACTATATAAACCCGGCTATTCAAGAATAACGCCCAACATGGTAAATAAATTGGACGAAGCTTTGGCTAAGGACAATTAATTATCTATTTTTCTTTTTTTCAAATATTTTAATAAAGCAATTAGCAGCGATAATTTATTGTTAGTTCTAAGTTGATTTTCATAAGATTCAATAAAAATCAAAATAAAATTCAAAAAAAAAAAAAACGAATCAGTACAGTTTCGCAGCTAAAAGATAATTCAATGTGGTGGTACGGACCATCTTGGCTTCGCTTAAATGTGGCCTAACCACTAAATGTCTGACAGTTTACCTGAGAAAAAAGAGATCAACTCCTTAGCTACCCAGTTATCAACAGAAGTATGGGAAATATTTGGACGATATGCGACTCTTGACAAACTACTTGTAGTCGTGGCGCAATGCCTACGTTTTATTCATACGTGTCAAAAAAAGATGCATCGATATAAAAGTTTCTGCACATGGCAACAATTGTATAAAAGAACGAGTTTATCAACGATTATGTTGCTTTACAGAAAGGCAATCCAATTAAAATCAAGTAAACTTTTTAAATTGAACCCGAAGCTTGATTCCGACGGAATTATTTCTTCAGATGAACGATGTCCAATGATATTACCAAAACGTCATGATTTTACTACGTTGATTATTAATCAAGCTCATAATCGAACATTACATGGCGGAACTCAAACAACATTAGCATATATGCGACAGCAGTTTTAGATTATTGACGGAAGATCCGCTGTGAAGAGAGTGATTAACAAATGCATTCCATGTTTTCATCAAGCCTATCTACCGCAAGCACAAATTATGGGTAACTTACCTCCAGCCCGATGTAACACATCATAACCATTCATGCACACTGGCATGGATTACGCTGGTCCATTTAATGTGAGAGCAACAAGAGGGAGAGGCCATCGTATTTACAAGGGGTATGTGGTTCTATTTATATGTTTTATTACACGAGCTATTCATTTGGAACTTGTGAGTGATAATACATCTGAAACATTTCTAGCAGCTTTAAGGCGATTTGTATCAGTCCGTGGCATATGCTCAGATATGTACAGCGATCGTGGTACATCTTTTGTCGGTGCTAAGGCTTTAATGAAAGATAAAATTAAATTATTTAAAAAACAAATTGAAGCTGGGTCTGTGTTTGCATCAACAGTTTGCATAAATTGACACTTTATACTGCCCGCAGTGCCTCATTTCGGTGGCCTATGGGAGGCAGGAGTAAAAAGCATGAAATTTCATCTTAAACGTGTAGTAAACACGGCAACTTTAACTTTTGAAGAATTTTACACGTTACTAAAACAAGTCGAAAATTGTTTAAACTCGCGGCCGCTTACGGTTCTATCTAACGACCCCAAGGACTTATCAGCGTTGACACCAGGACATTTTTTGATTGGAATATAGTTTACTAAATACAAAGATTAGTGTACTATTCCGATGGAAAATGTTGAGTCAGATGTATCAAGACTTTTGGCGCCGTTGGTCCCAAGAATAGTTAACACAATTACATGCTAGAAACAAATGGAATAAGAGACAAAGAAATGTCGCAGCCTGTCGCAACTTGTCGCTGCCTGACTGGTTCTAATTCGAGATGAATGACTGCCTCCAAGCTCCTGGTTGCTTGGCCGTATTATCCAAGCCCATTCTGGCATGGACGGTGCTGTTGGTGTTGTAACCATCAAAACACAATCAGCCATTGTGAAACGGCCAATCACGAAGATTTCTGTTTTACCAATCGACATTGAAGGACGTTCTGAAGTGAGCAATAATATAGACGAAAGATCCGGTCGTATCTCCACGTCTAGGTGGAAGAAATGTTTAAAATTACATATATTAATTTGGCAACCACTGTGTGTGGGCTTCTTTTTATCTGTTGGCAAGTTTTTGCTTCTTCATGTGTGAGCAAGAGTGATGATCGGTCGGGTTTTCGTGTCGTGCAGTTTTATTTGTTTTTCATTTATTTCTTTATTAAGTAAATTTTTTTATAGTGTTATTAATTGTTAAAGTAGTGAATAAAATTATTGATGTGACCTAAATAAACTACTGTACGAACATAATTCATTACGTAAACACGCTCATATAATAGTTTTTCAATATATATGCAGTTTGTTCATTTAATTATTTAAAATTTTATATTTATATATAAATTTAAATTTTTCGGACTAAAAATAAACAAAACAGTTGCGGAGTGATCACTTTTCGCGCTCATTCGTTGAGTTAATATGATTTATTATTGATTTAGTTACAGTGTGTGAGCGTTTGGTTGCTGAATCGAAGCAATAAAACACGTATTGCATTTATATTTTATTTAAGAAGTA